GTGACGCCGGCAATTTGTGTGGGGATTACGAACACGCGTCGCGCAACGAGTCGGTTGCACGCTCACGTGCGTTCACGCGCGTAAATATGTGTGTGTGTGTGTGTGTGTGGAAGCCGCGTGAGGCTGTCGACTGAAATTATCTTGCCGTCATCTACGACACACGAGGCCCATTATAACTGCGAAGACCGTTGCATCTATTCTCTCGCTTTTTTCTTTTATTTTTTTTTACAAATGTCCACCATTAACCCATTACGCCGACAAAAGAGAAAAAGTGGCGTGCGGCGTGGCGAAATAAACGGCTCCGCGACCGATAAGGCTTATCGATTCGCCAATTACGTTTGGATTTATTATCGCAGTGTTCGTTCTGGCGTAAAATAATAAATCGCATTTCTGCGCCACGAAAATTAGCAGCGACGTCGAGTCGATCGATCGCTGTTATCGTTCTCAGAACATTTTTTTTTTCTGCAAGAGAGACGATGAGAGATCGTGTGATAAGAGAAGACGTTATACTCCGACGCGTTGTACTAATTTAGTGATACCCTATGGGAAACACGGTATTATAACGCTCTCCACGTGAGAAGAATTCCCAGGACTCATTGGGGAAGGAGGGAAAAGAGGAAAAAATTTGTTACTTTGTTGCGAGGCACCTGGTTTCGTTTGCTCGACAGGTAGACGTCTCACCGTAGTAATTAATAAGGGGATAATCGACGATCCATTATCTCTTCGATAGTGACCCTCCGTCTTTCACATCCCTCGCCTTCTTCCTTCTTTCTCTCCCCCTCTCGCATCGTCTCGTTTCCTCGTGGTACCCTTAAACTCATTTCCGCCTACGTATATCTAACAATGATTGTACGAAAGGGCGAGTGAAATGAAGAGAAACTAATCATCGGTTTCAAAATTTGTAATGGACTTGGAAAAGAGAGAGAACCATCATTTCACTTTTAGTGTTAAATTCTTAGTTACTGTAAAAGAATGCCTCAGAAATTCGATCATTTTTTTTTTTATGTATATATTTCGCGCTTTTATGCTCCGAGGTACGGAAAACGTAACTATATCACTTTCTTTAATTATAAAGCAATGAATCACAGTGATTCAGTTTGCCGATCGCGGTCGTATAATAAAGATTAATAAACGTGAGTCAAGCTAGTGGACGTGCTGAGAATTATGGTCATGTAAAATCTTTGAGGTATACGAAGAATATATAGAAGAGAGAGAGAGAGAGAGAGAGCGCGGACGTTGACGACGCGATTGATCTAGAACGTGAGATGACTATCACGTGCTCAATTTTCCGAAGGTTTCATAACATCCGCTTCGCAAAGAGGGTGGCACGAGGCGCGCGCGCGCTCATCCTTCTGTCCTATTTCAAATCCTCGAAGGCTAATTTCCCTGACAGAGACATTTCCGTTCGGTTTGGTCCAGCGACGCGGGTCGGCGCCTTTTTCCCCTCTCTCATCCTCCCGCACGACGGGAGGTCGTAAGGCGGGCCCAAAAGGGAGAACTAAATCAATGTAGGACATTTATATTGGCTGGAAATCGCTGACTCTCAACGGTCCACCCGTGGACACCCGTCCGGACATATTAAGATTTCTGATCCGCCGCGTCCGACCGCGGCGACATTTTTATCATTGCGTGTCCCTTTCCCCTCTTCCGCGGACGAGGAAATAAAACGTGAATTATTGTCCACGCGGTGTCTCTCTTCGCCGGGCGTCCGCGCGCGCACGTGGTCCAGCTTCTGCTTCAGCTTTCCACGGACTCGGGGTTAAACTGGCCGTTATGGTTTTCGGTGAATAATTTAATGGCCCGTTTAGTGATGTCGGCTCGTGAATATCGAACGACGTCTTGCGCGCGATACGCTTAGTAAACATTTTTGTTCGATCGAATTTAGCGCGAAACTTTCGAGATGTAAAGTTATATGCATCATCTTGTCGATAATAAAACTCAGACTCCAGAAATTTGTTTAAAAATTAACCGTGTTAAACTTTTTTTTACTTTGGCTCTGAAATAAGAAAGTTACGAACTTTAAACAAATTTCCAAAAAACTTATAAAATGAAACACAAGTCACATCTAAACGTTAGAAATATATTTGTCAATTAAATATTAAAACTTTGCAAGTGCTCATTACGACCTATTAACTTTGACTCAACTCTGATGTGACCCCATTTACTACAGAAGGGAATAAACAAAGATTAAAAAAAAAGAAAAGAAAACGACACGAGGTCGGTCGTTGTCAAAGCATTGAAATTGACCGCGGGTGTCAAAGCAATTCATTTAAATTAATAGGTCCAGAGGCTGAGCGGCGTAAGCTTATCAACTGATTAGAAGCAGTTTTAACCTCTTTCTCGATCTCAAAACGTTCTTATTTTTATTGAACACATTGACATCGATAAGACCCGATGATATTTTTTTTTTTATCGCGCTGCGATTATTTTTCACTTGTATCTCTCTCCCAGATACGTGGAGCGTGTCAACTGTTTCGAAATTGATTCCAGATCAACATGCATCGAAGATAACTTTTATTTTCTTATTTTACTTTTAGAAAGCAAAAACCATATATTTATTTTATTCACAATCGAAATGATAAATGGAATACTTACGCTCATCGTCGAGCGAGTGTGTCTTTGTCATCGGCAATTTTTCCTAATTAAAACGTGTACAACCGCGATAAACGAGAAGCTTCTCGTGGCAACGCGCATCTACAAACCACGTCGACATACCAGGCAACCTTATCGCGCGTTCTCTTCCATGCGGCAGTGCGGATATCGCGAGGCGCTGCTGGGTCCGCGTCGCATCGTGCGGAATTGCGCGCGTCCGAACCATCGTCGCCACGATTGGGCCGCGTGTCGCTCCCACTTTCGGTCGCGACCGGCGCTGGTGGACGCGCGATATCGCAGCTGGCAGTCGCGCGTAGTCAGCCGCATCGTTTGGTGTCGTTTGGTTTGTGTCGCGTCGATTTTTCCACGCGTCACTCTTTTTACCGCCAACGACGACATCGTGTTTTCGCACGTGGTCCCGGGATCCAGCGCGCGCCACCATCGATCCTAACGCGAGACTCGCGACTTTCTTCCGCGCGCTTACAAACCGGAGTTGCGAAGTTTTCGTCGGCGAAGTTGTACGATTCTTTCATGGCTCCAGGAAGGCGTTAAATTTCGGCCTGGCGCCTCCCATAGTCCTCGCGTTAGCGGGCGAAGTTTATTCTTCTCTTCCTCCCTTTAACTCGCACCGACCCCGCGCACTTTTCGACGTGTTGGAAAAGCGAGACGCGCGCGCGCACGCGAGAAAGAGAGAGACAGAGAAGGGAAGCATCGCGCGGACCAAAGTTTTCGGCGCGCTGCAGGCGAATAAGGCAGCAGCAGCAGCACCGTGGAATATTTTAACATATATCACGACGAAATTGGGACGAGAGTATGGTGCGCGATAGCTGTCTCTCTCTCGTTCTTCCGCCATTCGCCGGCTTCGTCGCTTCCGCTTCGTCTTCTTTCTGTTCGCGCAATTCCTTCTCTCGTCGCTAGGATCGACGCGCTGTGCGGTGCCCTAGCATGTTGCTCTGCGTACTCAGATCCGTGTGTGACGCGTAACGACATCGTCGAGAATCTCTGCGCAAACTCCTTCGCCGCCAACATGTTTGTCTACCCCACGGACTACGGCAACTATAAAATGGTAAATTTACTGAAACTACGCGAAGTCCACCCTCTCCGATTACACATCGCCGCCAGAGCGATCGATAGTCATTTATGTCGCATGCATTATTCTTTATATTCGCACCTTTCCGCTTTGTTATTTTTTTTTTTCCATAGAAAAAGCCACGCTCGCGTTTTTATATTTCGTTTCGATATGAAAAAAAGCTTACGTAAATCTGATTATATCGATAATATTAAAAAAACACGTTTATATCTCGTTGCAATATAATTCTCAGCGTAATAACTTTATGAATTTCTTTTCCTCGTCTACGTACAAAGTTCTGCGGAGCCTTGAGGATGAGTCCCATGACGGATGAGTAATCAAAGAATATTGAATAATATCGTGTTCGCGAGATACGCAATATATACGCACATATATATATATATAACGTGATTTAGTCTTTATTTAAATGGCCGTATCGGATTAGACATCGAATTTTTATCGCGTGCAACACTGCGTGTCTTGCGTCACGTTTTGCGTATGTAAGTCTGAAAGATTTATGGTACGATCGCTAATCTTCAATTCCGGCAGCAATAATTAATTTATCATCGCCTCGCTTTCTGGCCTTCGTAAACTTGAGAATTGGAGCAATCTGCCAAGTCTACCGAGCGCAGAGTAACAATTCCGCACTGACACAAGTGATATTTTATTGACGTTTTTTTTCTTTAAAAAACGAACAAAACAGAGTTTTATGAAGAACGAGCTTGAACGTTAATCGAGTTTTCTCGATGAAGATTGACAGTATTAACTGGATCGAGGAAAGAGACGATCTAATCTTAAACTTTTATTAATGCATGCGTCGCACAAGGATACGCTCGTGTGTACATATGCGTGACGCCTTTTAACGACTCCGTGCCGATTTTCTCGCCAAACACGTTTTTCTCTCTGTCGCGTTTACGTCGCTTAGAGAGCTAATGACTGTTCTCGCTGGGATCCGCGTGGATCGGTGTCGCAATAATCGACAACGAGTCTCTCTATCGTCGTCGTAAGATGAAGAGACTGACAATACAACACACAAAGTGTCGCAAGAGCGGAGATGTAACTCCGATGTCTCCGATAGCTGGCGAATTGTCGCAATTATAGCGCAATTTTCGCGTTACGCTAGAATTAGCGAAACGCTGAAATGTACGAGTCGTTGAACGTAAAAGTTTACGACTTGCAAAACGACGTGATGCGAAGAAAAATAAACCTCGTGTTTTTTTTTGTCGCAACGCGTCAGTTTGGTACAGAATTTTATTTTATTTATTTTTTTTTTTACATTGCTCATATATATATGTACGTCTTTATTCATCAATATGTATTTTTCTGTTGTTTGTTGCAGTATGGCTCGGATGAATTCGGACAGGACTCGCCAAGATACACGTCGCCGAAAGGTGCCCTTTACGCAGATTCATACTATATCGGTAAGTGGAAAGAACGTGCGCGTGCGAGAATATAATTATTTACTATTACGCAAATAATACATTGTTGCACAAGAAAACGGTGTCAAGAGTCCTCCTTCACTTTCAATGACTTTGGTAAGAAAAAAAAAAAAAATACGATATTGTGGTGAGTTTTTCACGTACATTATACGTTGGATAAAAAGAATGGGAAAATGGAGAAGGCGCGATAACACATTTGTTATCGATTATTACTGATTTTACAAAAGTTCGATTATGAAGTAGACCATTAACTTATATCTGTTAATCGCTAACAACGATCGTGGACGTAATTAAACGGGATAGTGCGACGCTCCGGAGATTCCAGATAGATCGATCGTTATCTGGAAATCAGCGTGGGCGCGCGCGAATGCGTTCGCGCGCTTATACATGCGTGTACATACGGATATATCATTTGGAAATCGCGTAACGATCCGAATGAACGATAAAAGGGATTTTACGAGCGCACTAATATTCAACTGTTTAACGTTCGCTCGTAAAATTTGCCGCTCTGCCTCTGTCGCACGTAAAAACAATAACAATCTCGTTATTTGTTCAAGCGCAACTGCGGATCGTCGAAGTTCGTCGCTTGGATTTCGCGCAGTCGAAAAAAAAAAAAATTTCCCCGGAAAACTTCGCCGACGCGAGATATTGCCAATAAAAGCAATTTTTCCCGCGCTCGCCACCGCGAATCGCTCCACTTTATTGTCATAACGACGCTTTATTAAAACGCTCCTTGTATCTTTGTACCGTAGTTATTGTAATATAATTTTTTTTGCTGTGCAACTTTGGCTAATGGTCAATTGGTTGCGACTCAAATTGATTAACAACAGAATTCTGTCGCGCTATCGAAATAATTACCGTGCTGCGCGAATTGCACGCAAGTGATTCATTAGTTTTGTGCGGCTGCTTACTTTTAGGAGCGTGTAATTACGGTTTACGGTTTGCTTTAGTTTTACAACGGATCTTAGAAAAATAATTGTCACTTCGCAACGCAGGTGCTGCGGCAAACATTTTCACGTTCTGTGTCTTGCGGATATTTATTATAGCTAGAGGAGATGTTGTGTGTGAAATAATAATTTAATTACTTAAAAAATTGAACCACTTAGAAAAAACCAAGTAAACGTTCATATGATTTACGCGATGGTGAGTTACGTTGCTTAAAAAGTAGAAAAATAATAAAAGTTCTGAATTGACGAGAAGCAATTGACTGAGAAAGAGCGCATCGTGCGATTAAACATGCAAAATTTCAAATCAACTCGGGCAGATCCGACGCGAAATCGACGAAGTTTTTCATCGCGAGGCTTATTGTAGATCAGTTGAGAAAAGTAGCAGTTTAAGTACGCTTTCGAAATACGTGTCGGCGCGCCCGTGGCACCCGGTAGCTGACCGGAATAGCTTATAAATGGGGGAGGCCTCCGCGACGAGAGGAGGAAGAGAGAGAAAGAGAAAAAGAGAGAGAAAGCGAAAAAGTTTTATCAGACATCGAACACCGGTAGTTGGTAGGAACGCCCGAGTAGTTTGGCTTAGTTTCCGTTTTCTCGTCGAGGAGCGCCCGGTACGGGAATTATATCAAGCAAAAGTATCAAGAAATACGTTTCCCGAAGCTTATTGCTGTTGTTTTCAACTGAAATAATGGCGCGCGCCGAGGGTGCCGCGTCTATTGGCCCTAACACTAAATGTGTGTGTGTGCGCGCGCGCTGTTCCACCGCAAAACGACGCCGCGGCCTTAGAGAGACGTTAGAAAGCGCGAATTTCCGCCTTGGCGACGGTCCAGCGAAGTTGTATCATATCGGCGTACTCGTTCTCGAAATAATTACTGCGGAAGGAATGACATTGCGCTACTTGATTAGGAAGTTTGGCGCGCGCGTCGCCGTTTTCGAAGCGGAACCCGTCGTTCGCGTGTTAATCGAGCGAAATTGTACGCAAACATGTTTCGCAAATGTGTAAGACGTACCCGCGCTAACGAGTGAGAAATTCGGTTAAACGTTGCGACAATGCGTTTTAACTCGATTTGTGAACGCCCATTATCCGGGCACGTGCGCGACATTCTCCGCTCTCTGAACGCCACGTGCTGTGTACTATTTGTTGTTTCCCGCTCCAATGACGTAGAAAGTATACAGAGTCGACAGGACCCTATCGATATTCCTCACCGCAATCACATTTAATTATTGAGCTAAAAGGAATTGTTGTGCACAAGTGAGCGATTTGACGTTGGAAGATTATACACTTATAATTGTGTTGTTATTTGTTGGATTTTTTGATAATTTTTGTTTTGGATTTTTTAAATAATTTTCTTTTTATTTTTTATTACAGACTGATTATTTTCAACAATTGGCACATGATGAATCGAAACTCGATTTCTTCCTTTCGTTACAGATGGTAATACTACAGGAACCGGTCCTGGCGACCCATGGACGGGTAGTGCCGGTGGTGTTCAACCCCCCTACAGCGGCTACGCACCTCCTCACCTGGCGCAGCCTGCCTACCCTATGCACCTACCCCATGACCCCATGGTAAGTGATTTCTCTCCTCCTATCTTTCTCAAATCTACCTTTCCTTTATCCATCCCGAGTATCTTCCCACCCTACGCGGTCGGACCCGAAGAAACGATCAATCAATCACACGTGACTTCGGAGCCGCCGTCGTTTCCACGACGTGTCTACTCGAGAAACTTCGTAATAAAGACGCACACGGGAAGATATTCCTTTCCCCCGAATTCTCTTGTCGTCGAACACGCGAGTCCGACGAGGAAGTCGACAGATTAAAACCGTAAGAGAGCAACCTAATCTTGGTGCTACGGAAGATCGATGTGCTTGCGGCAAAGCAGAACGTGCGTTCTCTTCGCTCCGCAAGTTACGAGGTTTCGACGAAACCTCGAGCGCGCGTCATCGGGTAAGCGGGCAGATATTTGATCGATGATAAAAGATTGATCCGGAAATGTTTTTTCTTTTTTTTTCACAAACTTCTTCATATTGTAATTATAATCGCGCTCGTTGAATTCATCTTGAACGGGAATGTATTGTTGTCGCGTTGTGTACGTACTCGCGCGCGCGCGCACGATCGACAAGCATCGAAGATCACAGACATATATCCAAACGAATCGAGAAACTCACACTCTCCTCTCTCGGCGATTCCGAGAGAGAGAGAGAGAGAGGAAGAGACTTCTGTCCCCCGACATTCCGAGGCGCTCGATCGAAAACATCCTTTCACAAATACGCAAACTTCTTGGTGATTTATCTCATCGTTGATGGCTTTCCGCGGAACGTGATAAATTCCGATCGCGCCGTTGGGCGTCCGTGCTAAATCTCGCCGGGAGTTCGATCGTAGCTCCCGAAACGTCTCTCGAGGACGAGTTCTCGGTCGATCATTACTCTTCGACTTACCGGCAGTTGACTTTAATCCTCTTCATCAAGCGTGATGATCCGGCGGGACCAGCTGGGTTGGACTTTTCTGGACTGTCTTATTTTGGACCACCCGGTTGACAGTCCGCGCGAAGATGAGACTCGGCGATCTTCCCTTCGTCACTTCGCCATGGTTGAGAGACACTGTTGACAGTACTCCCGGAGTAACGTCAAATGACTCACTGGCGTCTATATATAGCTCCTCGGCCCTCCCGTTACTCCGTGTTTCTAGTCAAGTGCAGCCTTCGTTTGATTTACGCCGTTCATGGTTACCACGAAATCCTCTCCTCTAACGCGAGCACCTCGCGCTCTCGGTCTCTCCTGGCGGTCTCTTTCTCTTTGAGACAACGAGAAAGGGAAGAGCTCTTCGCCGCCGGTTCGTGACGTCGCGATTTGCGATGCCTTCGATCGGGGCATAACGACAAGCTGGCTGTGCGAGGAACAGCTCGGGCGTTTGTGTTAACTTTCATTTTTATATTCGATCTTTTTTTGTTCCGAAATTCAAGATATAAATATATTTGGAAGAACGCGTAAACTTCCCGCGCTCCCGCGGGACGTAAAGGCGCGACTTTTTACGATTGTAAAACAAACCGTTTTATTATCGTTCGCGTAGCTACAGCGAGATCTATCCGACCTATTTGATATGACAAGAAACGTCGTAAAGATGTTGTACGATTTAGAGCGAACGCGCCCAAGAAGGATGGAGTTTTAAAGCGAAGTAAAAGAGAGGAGAAGATTTCTTTCGGTTAACTGTGAGAGGGGCGGGGGGTTAAACATTTACGATCTTCCAGTTTAATGACCTATCTTCCGAGAACACCGTCCGCCGTCCATCGAAGAAGAATCTCCCGCTGATGTCTCTAGTTTTTCTGTATATATTCGTTGACGGCTCCGAAATGTCGGTCTTCGTCGTTGTTTGTTGTAGTATCTTTCATAAAAAAATTAAGAAAAAAAAACGTCGATTAAGGACGATGTACGTTTTACTTAGCCGATTTCTTCGCGGACGTCCCCAGACACTTTAATTTGTTGATAAATACACTAGAGCTTCGTGGCGCGCCGGCGGTGGCTTAAAATTAGACATTTACGATCGTTTTTCAGTAGGTGCAAGAGAGCCTTCTCCGCGGTTCGACGTATCCGATATCAAAGGTGGACTGGAGCGATCCATTATGACGGGAAAGACGCGTTTAAGAAATCGTACAAATCGCGTCGACTTCTCGAAATTAACCAACGCTCTTGTAACAGGAACCTTTATCGTTTGTAGCTACACGAGATAAATCAATCCCTCGGTTTCTCCAAGCCGTCGACTCGCACAGAAGATATTTCTCTCTCTGAAATCTCTACCAAATCTCTAAATCTTATCGAGTTTCTCTTACGAAGTGAAATCTACGAAAACACAAGTACGCAACTTAGCGTTAATCAAATCAAACACAATACGTTGACATCGTCGCGCACAACTTCGTGTTTTACAAATTAATTTAATTCGTTACATGTGTCAATTGTAAATTTCGCAATTACTTCGATAATTAACATCGAGGACGCGAGAGTGCATTGTATCGCTTTGTCGAAGAGAGAAGATCACCGCAAGCATCGCGCGTCGAACCATTTGCGTTTGGTGGTTACAGGCATACTCGGCGATGTCGCCAAACGGCGAATCTGCAGCGCCGATCCTGGGCTCAGCGGTGACCAGTGCGGCTTCCCTGCCGCCGATGTCGACATTCCGGGGTAGTGCCGCGGTCGCGGCGAACAGCGGCACAGGGGCGCCGTCCCCGGCATCGTTGCAATATAGCCATAGTCCTGGTGCACCGACGACCGCGCCCTCCGCGCCCAACAACGCGCCCACGACGAACCAGCAATCTACAACGGACGACACCCTTGGCAAGACTATCGCATCCGTCGTAAGCACTCGAGTATGTGTCCGCGAGACATTTCACGTGTTGACGACATTGTTTTAACAGAGATTAAAACAACGCGCGAATCGATGTAATTCTCGAATAATACAGATGCCGAGTTTAATTAAGTTTGCCAGAAGATATGTAATTTTTTAGTATTGTTTTTCACGGGATAAAAATGCTTGGATGTCTCGAGTTTAAAAATTACACGTCACGTTTGATGATCGCGTCATTGTCGCGACGTTTTTTCACAGATTTATCCCACGGACCAATCAGTATCCAGTTATAGTAGTAATCCATCTACACCTGTCAGTTCACCACCACCTTTAACCGGATCGGCACCGGGCTGGGCACCTGGAGCCGCGCCAGTGTCTCCGCATTTTACTGCGGATCCCAATCGTGGTATTCACATGGTACGTATTGAAAAGTGACTATCTGAATCTGCGCTAATTCCAAAAATATTCACAACGAAGCCCCCAGCAGAAGCCGGTCACAGGGTCTTTTCAACGTTGTTTCTTTCGACGTTTTTGCCAAATTTTTTTGTATATTTTTTTAAATATTTTTCACATATGTGAGATTGTGTTAAAACATAATTTCACAAAATATCAAAATAATGTAAAATAGAAATTTTTTTCACGGTTATCGTTGGGAATGATTCCTGAGACACACACGTGTGTATACAATTGTGTATTTTTACAATTTTTGCGTCGAGTCTTGACACTTTAGAAACACGCACAGAACAATTCACTTTTGTGTTTTTAAACGCTCGATTTTTAAATCTTTAAACCTCTTTACCGATCACGATTTTCCGACAGATTGTACTTTGCTGTATGCTACTGAGACACGCTGACATTATTATTCATGCAAAATTATTGTTTTGAATAAAACTGAACAATTCGAGTACGTAATTTATTATTATATTGAGTTTAAGTCTTGTTTATAGAAAATATGTAATTACACGTCTCCTCTAGAGAATTGCACATAATCGTGTAGCACTTAGGTTGCACAAATAGCATGATCGCGCGTTGCACCGCGAAATCAGCGTTTGTGTTTTTTTCTTCACGCAAGCGACTGTATTTTTTTCTTTTTTTAATTTCTTGTTCACGGTGCAAAAATTCTTGAGTTTATCGTCTTTCTCACCCCCACCCCCCCCCATTCATTTGACACATTTTTGTTCATTACGTCCTGTTTGTTGTGAACGTTGTGTTGACTTGGTTGTTTTTTGTTTTTTTTTTGGTTTTATTGTTGCGTTGGTGTTGTGTGTGAAGCCGGCGCCTGAACAGCAGAGGCTAGACGATGCCATCGGCTTCCTTCGCGACCATGCCGAGGTGAGGACTGCGTATTTCAGTTTATTGTTTTTTTTATTCACTCACTCTTTTTTTTTTCATCTTCTTCTAACGCATGATGTTTTACGCGACCACGTTAACAAACACAACGAGACATGTTCGATGCACACTTTTTGCTGATTACAAGTTCGTTTTGATTTCGTTACGTATGATTATATATTGTGATAAAAAGAAACGCTTTTACTGTGCACACAATATATAATCATACCTTGAATTTCTATTAACACAATCACGACTTAATAAAGTAATCAAGATATAAGATTTTTCAATTACAAAGATTAATTAACTTCTTATTCTCTTAATAATCGTGTGATTACTCTCCCCTTCGAAATCTGTTTCAATTAGCAGACAACTTGTTTTTATTGTCATAGAGAAATCTCTGACGAATGTAGAGAAAAATTTTGTTTTTTCAACTTTTCGAGTTTTTCGCCAAATATACTTTACATAATCAAGAGAATTTTTAATAAAAGTATTTAATAGAAGTATATTTTTTAATAAAAGTATAATTCTGCTGCTATAATACGTATATACTTCTGAAAATAATACATTAAGGAACACAATCATCTTGAATTACTGGCATGTGTAATCGAGTCGAATTCCGGTATTCTGTTGGCACAGGGGACACGGATGGAGGAACGATTAGACGATGCCATAAACGTTTTGAGGAATCACGCCGAGAGTCAAGTGGCTCTTCATCTCGGCCCTGTTGGTCCACACGGCGGGATATACTCGCATACCTCACCACCGCAGTTGGATCATTTGGTGAGAATTTCAACATCTCTCGAAAAATCGAACGAAGTCTTTTCTTTCACTAATATATTTACTTTTCATTGTATTTTACATAATATTTTTCAGACGAGTCCACATCCTGCGGTAACGGTAACGCAACCTCAGGGTTCCTACCCCGGTCTTACGCCTACGCCTGATACAGACGGTTCTATCAAAATTGAAAGGTTACCTGTGACGAATGCCAGTAAGTTGACCCCGAAGTGACGTTGATAAATCATTATCAGTAGTTTGCAACATAGAAAAAGCCAATTTGCGCCGATCTTGAAAGTAAATTCTTTCTTTTCAAATAATTTCTATTGTCGCGATGAAAAACGCCTGTTATAGTTTTTTTTTCTTTTTTCATAAAAATTCGATAAAACTGTTGCACCGTTCCTCGAATCGCGCCATTCTATTCTCGCATTGTCGCATCATCGAGCAATCACTTTTCCCATGAGCGCTGCGAGGAAAAAAGAAAAGGAGTTCCCAGGTGTTCTCCACAACGGACCGCGTGCTGACCGAATAAGGAAATATTAGATAAATCACACAGCGAAGTCTGTGCTGTCTGGCAGAGTCGTGCCTGCATTATTCCCGCGAGTGTGTTCACTTTTATCTCGCTTCTTCGTTTCTCTTTCCGCCTCGCCGAGTCTGTCTCTCCTCCGGCCGCTTACCATTAGAGTCATTATGCCGACGTCGGGAGAACATTTGGAATCCTTTTACTTACGAATTAGGAGATCTTCCGTTAGCTCGAAGGAATTCTTGACATTTCTGCGAATTTTCGATGAAAATAGTTTAAATACTTTATATACTATGCATATTAAATCGTACTTCAAAGAATAATTTCACAAGAGAGAAGTAAATATTTCGAATTTCTTTTTAACGTCACATATATTCAAATTACGCGAATATTCGTATCGTAAAAATTCCGTTTGCAGTTTACAGAGAGTTCGCTTCTGAATTTAAAATATAAAAGTGATAGCTCACTTTTTGCACACAATTGTGCATCCGGCGAGTTTCGGCACTCTTATAAAGAGACACTCGGTGGTGTACGTGAGTTATTCCCGCAAAACTCGTCGAATTGTCAGGCGACGGAGCGTTTAAGGAGATCGGTTGAATCAGAGGTTGTGCGAAATCCCGCAAAGTGCGCTTCCTGCTCCTAATTGGACGCTTTTCACGGTTTCGTGACTAAACCTTCTCTTTAAAAGCTCGGAGGATAATCGAAGATCGTGATCGCCGTCTTTGGCGAAGGTCGGTCGCACTTATTCTTTCTTCGTTTCCGGGTGAGTTTGTTCGTTTTTTCCCTCAGTTTCATCAAATACTTCGCGACAATCGTTTGAATATGAAGCGTTATACGTGCTTTTAATTTAGTGATACGCTAATTGAATGGCGAAGCCGATTCTACAGCAAGAAATAAAAAAAAAAAGTTGAATTTTGTATTCGGCTCTTTCTGTCTTGCAAATTATTTACTAATACAACTGTTGCGTTTTTTATTACGACAGTATTAATAATAAACAGAATACATCCCCTTAGAAAAGAGGAAAGATCCGCCCGACAGTAGTGGAGGCGAGACGAAGCCTTCGAGCAGCGAACTCGCAGCAGCTGGAGTAATTGGAGCCGCTACTGTGAATTCGACGTCACAGGGAAAAGGAACGAAAAGATCGCGTCGATAGTAAGTATCTGATAAAATTTTTTAAACTAATAACAATATTAATTCAATTATCTTTCGTGAACTACATGTATCAAGGAACGGTGATAAAAATATAAAAAAAAAAGAGCGATTGGTTTTGTATTTCGATGCATAAAACTTGTATGTGAGAAACGCTCGATATTTTTACTCTGAGAGTTTTTTTTTAAAAAAAAAGCGAGAAAATTAACTTAGAAATGCTGATATTTGACACTCGGAAAAAACCTATCTTCGAACTAACTTGCTTTGTCTTTAAACAACTGTTGTTCGAGCGCTGATGAAGACTGCGACGATCCCGGCACCAAAGCGGTGCGCGAGAAAGAACGTCGCCAGGCCAACAACGTGCGTGAAAGGTTAGTGAACACACGCAGTACGCACTTTGTTGCATCTTGATACAACAAACAATTCCTTTAATATCCCGTTCTTCTCGTTGCATAATATTTCTTCCCTCCCTCTCCGATATATATTGTCATACTTACGACGTAAGTGATATATATATATATATATATATGAAATCCCAGCTGCACACATTCTTGGGGAAAGTTTCTCCGACACTTATAGTCGTATGCATGCCTTTTTGAACGAGGTGCTATATGTGACGAGCAATAAAAACACGAGATACATCAAGATCGTGAACGATCGAATAGTAATAACGATATGTGGCATGTTTACGGCTTTGTCGTACAAGATCAAATATCCCGCAGTTCGAATCCACATCCTTTCCTCACATCCTCTCTTGCATTTCGTTGCACTGTATAAGGCCCGTATTCAGGCGCGAAAATTAAAATGTTTCTGGTTAAGGACAGAAGTGAGACGAGATGAAGATGAAATGTTGACAGCTCTCTCGTGCGTGCCTATAAATCAGTCTCATTTTAATTTAGCTGCGATTCGGTCCCTAAACATGCTATTTTGTTTAGAGAGTTCTGCACTTCTTCTGCATCACTAAACGTTGCATCATCAAATCGCTCAGTTTAGATTTTTTTCAGATTTGCATTTTTTTTTTTTTTTTACTGTACTTTTTATCTATAATGAATTTGAGATTAAAAACAAAACATGTCATATTATTTCTAGATGAATGAATCACTTTGTTCACACGTATATATGTATGTATTATGGATTTAAATTATGTGACTGTTATATTTTTGAAGTAAAAAAATTATGAACTGTTACTTACGTTTGTTTATATCTCTTGATAATGTCTAGCTTGATTTATATATATATGTTTATAAATTTTTGTGCTACCTTTAGTTTCTTTTTTATTTTATTGTCATTTTTTCTGAAATTCTTTAACACTTTGGCAGTTATAGATGTCATCTGCATTCTGGAATTTTCTAGGTAACAGCATCAAAATAGAGGAATCTGCATTTTTCGATCAACGTCTGACGCGATTTATTAATTGTTTATTGTTCTGTGCAAAGAATACGGGCCTTTGAATTTGTAACCTACTTACTACATCCACAACTTCAAAATTATGAGACCAGTTGCGTGTGTTCATTATCATATCGCTTATGTATGTGTTGCAACAAAAAAATACACGAAATACGCTCGAACAACAAACAAATATATATGTATTTAATCATCAAATACTTAAATATCAGCAAGTCAAACAATTTAAGGCTTGTGCGCGTGTGTCATTAGAAGCCAGTAATTCGATCTCTGTTAGGTATAATTTAAGTAATTTAGACTAAAATAAGTGACATAAGTCAGGTGATTAATTGCGTATTGTTATTGCGCAACTGTTGTTCGAGCGCTGAGGACGAGGATGACGATCCCGATATGAAGGCACAAAGGGAAAAAGAGAGGCGGCAAGCAAATAACGCTAGGGAAAGGTAAGATCAATGATCTTGAGCGAACATAAACAAAAAAACAGTTAATTTTAATTTATTCGCAATAACATGTTTTGCGAGAAAATTCTGGTCAACAATACCAGCGGCCCGTATTCTATGTATATGTGACAACAATACAAAAATATTTTAAATGAAAAAAAGTATTTTTGAAGAAAAATAATGACATGTTTCTTTGTATATATTATACTTTAAAAAAGCGCGATGTAGTTTTGATGCATATATAGACAATCGTTTCTTATAGCATGTTTATACAAGTGCAATTTCAACAAAAAGTAGCAAAAATATTTTGTGATAAGTACATGTATATTTCTTGTATGTTACACAATTCACTTCCTGCTGTATTAATTTCTATTGCAAAAATATATTGAAAATATTCCTTGAAAATCCTAATGCACTATGTGTGAATGTGTGAGTGTAAAAAATGTAATATATTAAGAAATCGCTTGTAAATTACTTAATTGAATTTATTACATTCTCTTTAACGTTGAAGTTGGAAAAACATTTCTTGGTCTATTAATAAAACAATTGATATATTTAAATACACTTTATTTGATCTCTTATCATATAGGATACGTATCAGGGACATAAACGAGGCTTTAAAAGAACTTGGTAGAATGTGTATGACACATCTAAAAACGGACAAACCTCAAACAAAACTCGGTATTCTCAACATGGCTGTTGAAGTTATAATGACACTTGAACAGCAAGTCAGAGGTATGTATTATTTTATAAAATCATCCATTGCATATATATATAATTTCACAGCATATTAACCTATTAATGTGTTATTCTTTGTTTTTGTTTTTTCAGAGCGGAATCTTAACCCGAAGGCTGCGTGCTTAAAAAGAAGGGAAGAAGAAAAAGCCGAGGATGGTCCTAAGTTACCAGGTCATCTTGCGGCGCACATAGCACATCCACATTCTCATCCACACGCACACTCTCAACCGCCCTTCCCTACATTACCTGTAAGACTTCGTTAACATCAGTAAAATTGGCACGGATGTTAGGCATGTTGCGTGAAACGATCAACTAAACTTTTTTTTTACTTTTTGTTTCAGGGTCCACAACCTTCCCTTCAGCACAATCCACCGCAACCGCAGTAGCAGCGGCTCAGTGGTGGTATCATTCTGTGTTAAGGGGTAGATTCGTCTTAAAATATCGATAAAATTTACGAAATGTGACTTGCATACCAATTATAGGAAGTTTTTCTGCTTTTCTAAATGGGAATGTGTGCAAAAAATTGTGGATATTGCACGGTGCGTCGAGGAGTTAGCAAAAAGAAGAGACGATAAAGAACCTTTAATCCGATTATTGTTTTTAATATCGTGTTTATTACTTAATATATTTGTATAATAATTATTATTTATATATCATACAGAACGCGCCTGTAGATCATATTTTGAAATCACGATCTATGTATTAGTTTTAACGGATACGCAGTATTGTATCAGGAGAAGCGGCACACGGAATAACCATAATTTTTTTGCAAATTTTCTACAATATGTAGGTAACATGGAAGAAAATTATATATGCTCACGTAAGCATATATATATATATACGTATACATATATATATATATATGTATGTATGCAGGTAGTTTTAAGAAGCATCTACCCCCTCAAGGCGGCTTCAAATTATTTTTATAAATAGCGAAAAGAAAAAAAACAAAGGAATATGGTTCCTCTCTTTCGAGATATATAACGTGTAGTACGATCGAGGTTTTATTAACGGTCGAACTTCGCTGCTGACTCATGTTAAATTGCCCACTTTTGTGTATACACTACTGACACGTTGCGTTTACGTTATAGTACGCAATAGCTAGAAAGAGAAGCTCGAGTTGGCGAGAAACAGAGTCACTGACTAAAGATGAAGATAAAGGCAGCATATTTCCAACATCGATCTAGCGTTTAGATTTATCGTCTCATAAAAAAAAAATTGGCAAATTTCGATTGTTAAAACCTGCTCTTAAGACTTTACTCTTTTAAACAGAGTATGAATCGTTACTACTATATGTAAATATAATGGATTATGTCGCCTTTATGTTGATAATTAGACGCTGGCAATACTGTATATAGAAACTATTATTATTTACTAGAGAGCGTTCAGAAAGTGAATTGAAGATGCTTTGCGGTTCGTTCACGCTCGCGAGAAACACGTTTACGAGCATCCAGCGTAGGAAGAAATTCATATTCCGATATATTTGTACCTTTTCTCTCAATACAAATATAATTTTACTAGAAAAGCAACCACATTACCGATAATGAAAGTACAAATACCTAGTAATATCGATGCATTTGTCTCGTGGTGTTTACTACTACTTGGAAAAACTTGAGACATGCGACAATAAATTCTCAGAGAATTCTCTATCTGAGATAAAAATAAGAATTTTCGGAGAATTTTTTGTTTCGGAGAGATTTGGGGACTTTTTGTTGAAATTTTCTCCTGGAGATCTTACATCAAAACTTTTAAACATGACAAACTTTTAAAGCAACTGATCGAAAAGAGTGTTATATCTTCAGTATAATACTCTTTCAAAACTTTCATAGAAAAATGATTTAATTCTTTATTTTTATTGTTGTATATTTGGGAAGAGAAATAAAAAAAATGAGTAGCTATATACTCTGCCTTTAAAGTTTTATTAAATTTGAATAAAAATCCCTCGATCGGAGAATCGGTAAGAAAGTTTTTTTCCAAGATTGAATAAACATTCATAGTGTGACTTACAAAATTAAAACCTCTGTTCCAAACATAGAATATTTAAATATAAACAGCAGATTTATATACAAACGGTGTTTTTATTAAATAAATAAATATATATATATTTATATATATATATATATTGATAGAGAAGATACAGTTTTCAAATATATAATGTGTGTGTGAATTTCTTTCTACATCGCGTTATATCTACATATATTATAATACTCTGACATAAACATTCTATAAAAAGAAAAACAAAACAATTAAAATTTGCAGTAAAATATCTAAAAAGAAAGATATATTTGCATGTATTTATTTGTATTTTAACGTGATGTATTTATTTTGTTCAAATTACGTTTAAAATTTGACCATGCCATTCAAGTGCCATTTAGAATGTTTTTTCATTTTAGTATCAAGATTATTTTGAACTATTCATTATAGTTTATATATGTATATTAAGCGTTATTTATACATATGCGCTCGCGTTGCTATATACAAATTACTTGATATTTATTAGCCATTTTACTTTCGGATAATATGATTCCTACAATTGTAGGAACATAGCGTGAACGATCCGCGCCCAAAACCGAAGAAGCATACATTATGAAAAATATAAGAAGTAAGCAGTTGGATTTTATTTTCAACGAATGATTTAATTCAACGGATTATTTAAGCGTTTTACTTTAGTAATCGTCCGATTCTTTAACATAATAGAGTAATAAACGTTTAATTTAAGCCGTTTTATGACCAACATTCGCGAATTATGTATTATTAGCTATTTTTACACTAATTACATGTGTCTTTTTTTATTGTCTGTGTTTAAATATTAATATAAATTGTATAACGCGTTAAATTGAATTTTCTTTCCCAAATGTTTTATAGAATATTACAGCATTGAGAAAAGAGAGAACGTTGAACACGCGCGTGCAACCGACACGAACCACGAAATCCGAAATCATTGATCCAGATTGAACAAATTTTACTTTTTGTTTTCAGAAATATCTGCTATATAATGAGTACACACACGTTGCCATATATACCATCAGTAAGAAACGGAAAGTATTCACTTGTGTAGAGACGTGCTCGCTGCATAAAATATTACGATATTTGCGATATGTAATACACTTATCGTGATATCTGACAACATTTAATAGGTGCACTTCACAGATGCAGTGCTTTTCTTTCTTAATGTTATGTTGCAAAATAAACAAATTTATAATTTTTCGGTAATATCCGCTGGTTTTGGTATACATATATACATCGTCGAATCACTCTGGACCTTCTCGGACTTTTGGAGCGCCGTCTTATTGCGCTTGCCTTTTTGCCGGTCAATCGGGCAAAATTTCTGTACTTATATGTATTCGATAAAGTAAAATATAGGTCAGAAGAATGAAATAAAAAAAAGCTTGATAAGAATTAAAGTCGTTATAAAATACGATATTTAACTTGCACACATATGACGAGAGAAGACGCGCAACCAATTCGTCATAATCATGATTAATTATTATTAATTATTATTATTATTATTATTATTATTATTATTATTAGCAATTAATTATACCGTCGCGTCGGTGAGATTTTTCGTAATATGAACAAAGAAGGGCGGGACAATTTTGTTTTTGAACAAAAATATAGCTCAAACGTATTTGTATCTCCTCCTCCTCTCCCTCACACACACACGCACACACATACATACACAGTTGCCATGTATATTTTAATTTATTTAGATTCTTAAATAAATTTTATTGGAAAAAAAAGAAAATCAACGAAGACGCATCCGAGTGTTTACTTCGCCTCTGTTCTATTCTTTTTGTTTTTGCTTCTTTTTCTATATCTCTGTTTTTGCATTTCGCTTCTTCATATGTAATGTAAAATATGCGTAGCTATATTTTTCTTCAAAAGCATCACATTGTGTCTTACAAGGATTACAGGAAGATCGTGCGGAACGATATATGTTTCTGCTCAGGCTTTGTGACAAAAAAATCGTTTTCTTTGTCAATTTTCTAAACTTCCAAACTCATATCAAAAAATATCAAGCACATATCATATGTACATTTGTTCTAGGTACAAGCAAAAATACTTCATCTTTCGCTCAATTCTCATTATACAACTGTTGTTTTTAATAATAATATTCTTTTACAATGCAATTTTCTGAGATACAAAATTTTAAGTAATATGAAGGAAAATACGCGAGTGATATCATGATGTGTCAAAGTAGTTCATTGAGATTACGGTTTATCACGTAATTTTATTAACGTTGTGTTTATGATACTTTTAAACTCTGTCATTTAAATGGCGATTAATTATCAGTTACATGAGAATGTAGTATATTGTGAAAAAATGTTTATCAAACTTGCCATTAAAACAGTTCAAATGTAAGATAGAAATTACTACGATTGCTGCGTGAATCAATTCAATTGATTTACAATTATACACAGACGACTCTAAGTACTATTAATACTCTCTCCCGATGTGATACGTTTGATACAATATGTCACATTTCAAATTATTTTTTCCCGAAATCGATCAACGATGAATTTAGATTGCAAGAAGAGTTGATGAGATTGTTTCGAAATATTTGTTTCTAAGCTGTAAACTCGTTTAAATATTTTCTAGATTATAGATTTTTCGTAAAAAAAACTTCGTTTTCGATCAGGTTCTATAAATATTAGATAATTCAATCGGCAAAAGAACTCGCACAACCTCGCTCCAAGTTTAATTAATAATTATTAATCATGTTACGTTGTGCTCTGGCAACGCTTTATTATAAAATACTTCATTAAGAGAAAGAAATAATAAAAAAAAACTTAACGATGATTGTAAATGTATGATAAATTGCAAAACAAGCCGCTCACAGACATTAATAAAATACACGATCACACACTTGTACTCGCGAAGGTAATCATGTAAAATAATAACGACAATAAATAGATCGTAAGCCAGTCTAAGCTAGACACTTGTCGATAGTCGTAGATAGTCAAAGTGAAGCTGAAGAAAAAAGAAATCTACACACACGGGGGGTCGAAGTCAAAATTGTCGGTCAAAGGTCCCTTCACACAGACCTTTGTACATGAAACGAAGTGATTATGCACTTATAACAACTTAATTTGACATAATTTTCAAATATGCGCGTATTGTGGGTACCAAGCCATCGTCGAGTTTTGGTTAGACTAATATCGATATATATCACGTTGACATGTAACACCGACAAGAAATCAATAAGTACTGTTAAGCCATTTAAATATCAGTGAGAGCATACGGGACTATTTGTTGCGGTCTAATTATGTAAGAAAATTCAGTTCGATCGGTACAATTGCGAATTGATAATTATCATATCATGTAAGGTGTAACTATATATATTAGGAATATAATATAGTATATTGTATAATATGTAATAAAAAAAAGAGATTAAAAGGCGTGAGTTGTGTAGGCAGTTTGTGTGAATGGGCCTGAAGGGTGTAAAAAAAAAAAAAAAAAAAAAAAAACCGATCTCTTCGACCCTACATGCGAATAAGAAGAAAATGCGATTATTAATGAAATTAATGATTATTGATGAAAAGTACGGAAATGAGTATATAAATACATAAACTGAATAAGAGAGAGCGAGAAAGAGAAAAAGCATGAAAGAGTGAATAAGTGTATCGATTGAGAAAGAAAAAAACATGTAATTATATCACTAGTAATATTATTATCGCTAATATAATAAATGTGCCATTTTTTCCATAATTACAGTGTCGTCTGACGTTGGATCCTGTGTGATCCGTCGAACGTTTCTTTTTTCTTTTTTTTTTAATATATAATTTTTGTTACATGCGCTAGAAGTTTTTTTTTATTGTTTGACATTTTTTCTTTCTCACTCGTTATTTTATTTGTATATTATACTCTCAGTATTTTATTGTAGACAATATTTACTTTAAATCTTATTATTTTTTTGCCTCTACGATACACACACTTTTGGTTTAAGTTCAATTGTATTTTCATTATACGCAGACTTATTATTAGCCACATTATATATGCACAGTATGTAGATACTTTTAGTAAATTACCGAGTACGACGCGACTCAAACGTGTCCGTGCTTGCTCATCATTTTTAACTGATAATTCTATTACAATATATATATATGTGTAAAACATTTGTAGTCCGTGCTCGTGGAGTTCATATTTCTCGTACCTCATGTTACAGAAAGCAAAATTATCGTGCTACATTTTTGATAAGTCGCTGAAGAATTTTTTTTTTTTTTTTTTTTTTTTTTTTTTTTTTTTTGAAGAAAACGGAGAAATAAACTTATTAATTTAATATGTGAAATTGAATGGTTGTGTAACGACAAACCAATACTCTCCTTGTGACCTTTGTGCGTGCGTTGATGGAAATCTTTATTGCACTCTACGAGATGACTTCTCTAATCTAATAGTGCACAAGATTTCAACTTTACCATTACATAAGTTAATTGCGTGCGGTGTAGTATTATATAATAGTTATTGCAAAATTTATTGACACAGCATAACGTTGGCGGGAACATTGCTCTCAGAAAATTGACCGAATACGGGGAAATGTGTGTTTGTACACACATTTTTAGTGAAAAAATTTCTAGACATTCTTTCCGGGATTATTTATCTACGTCTTTCTTGTCCATATACGTTATTCGGCGCGAAATACCTGTTTGTTTATTCTCTTGACTTCGCGTTCTTTCTAATAGAGAAATAGAAAAATGCGACGCGTTACATAATTCTCAACGATGTTTGAAAAAGAGAAGACAGAGATTTCTCGATAAAAATACAAAAAATAAGTACTTTTATTTAGTAGGGATATAGAAAGTTGCTTACAATTTTTTAAATATCATATTAAACTTACACAACATTTATGTAATTATAAACATACATCTCTTATTACACTAGCACAGGCGCGTGCTACGCGCACGCTGTTATTGTTTTTATTTTAACGTGTTGTGTCAGTAAACACAACCTGTCATCGCGATAAAATATAATGACAGCTAATATATACGTCTTACAAACCATATAATATTCATGGAGTACAAATGAAAGATATCAGAAATAACACATGAAAATCAAACTCAAAAACTAAAAA